AGCAAAATTTGAGTATTTCATCTACATTTCCAAATTCATTAGCATAAATTTGTTAAAACAACTGAATATTAACTTTAAAATATCTCTAGAACATTTAGTGGAAATATTATTTGTGCTTCCTCTCATTAGAAAAAATCAGTCTCATAATGCAGTATATCAATTTCATTAGCCTTTATTAAAAGTTTAGTTTGTTTATCACATTAATTTTTTTACTTCTTTGATTTCTCTTTTGATTTTCTTCTCTTCTCTTTTCCCCTAATTTCTCTTCATTTTCCAATTTCCTTTTTTTAAGATTTATTTATTTGAAAGGCAGAGAAGGAAAAGGAGACATATGAGTATGAGTTTACATAAAAATGTGTACATGGATATTACAGCAGTATTATTTAGCATAAAAAGAAAGTAATTGTAACCCAACGTTTGTTAAATGATAGTTGGATAGACAAAAGTGGCATAACCACATAATGAATATTACTCGATCACAAAAAGGGATGAAGAAGTGATAAATGCTCCAACATGGATGAAGCTGTAAAACATTACTAAGTGAAAGAAAGCAGATAAAAAAACACTGTATATTTTATGCTATCATTTTTGAAATGTCAAGAATAGGCAAATATCTAGAAACACAAAATAGTAGTTTTCAGGAACTGTAGAGAATAGAAAATGAGAAGTATTGGCTTGTTGGTATGGGGTTTCTTTTTAAAGGGAAGAAAAAATTCTTGAATTACATGGTGATGATGTTAAACAGCTTATAAATATATAAGCTACATGGGAAACCACTTCTAAATTGTGTACTTGAAAAAGGTTAATTTTACAGTGTTTTGAATTATATCTCAATCAAAAAGATGTCTAGAATAAATTTTATAATTTATTATTCATGATAGTTCTTATGTGGAAACAACCTAGACGTGCATTTATGGCAAAAGAATAAAAATTATAATATGGTAGCATAAAACAATGTAAGACAATAACAATGAACTGCGACACTTAACACTATGGATGAATTTCACAAAATATATTGACTGAAAATGTGTTGCAAGAGGATATATGCTTTATGGATCCACATGAATAAAGTTTAAGGTAATCAAAATTCATCTTAAAGTTTGTAGTCCAGATAAAATTTATATTTGAATATATGAGAAAGGCGATGGGATGGGCAATGTACTATTTCTTGACTTAAATGGTAGGTACATGAATATGTATTTTTTCAATTATTCATCAAATTTTATGTTTAGAATTTAAGTATTTCTATGTAGATACTAGTTTGTACTGCAATTTTACATTAGTTAATAAAAATTAACAAATATCACTCATTTATAGGTTGATTTTCTCCAGTTTTTTTGACTATACATTTTTATATCTGTGCTGCTTTTGTGTGCAAGGTGACACTCAATAAAATGAGTGTAAAATTTGGTAAGATGCAGCGATTTGCTGCTGTAAATTCCCTTCCTACTAAATATTCTAAGTCTCAAGGACTTAAAATTTATTTTACTTTTTTCTCTTACAGTGCAGCACTACTTCTATCAGCTTGTCCTGATAGATTGAGATAAAATATGTATGTACCCTTCCTACATCATAATATATGAAAAACACAAAAATGGAGGAGCATGAGCTGCTGCTAAAATAATAGTAAAATCCATTTAAAAAAAAAAACTAAATATCTGAAAATTTAAAGGTGAACCTTTTCCAAAATTCTTTTGTTTCTCTCAACAACACATTTTGACATCAATATTTATTCTAGTGTGTTTTTCAGAACTTCTAACATTGGTGAGTCTGGATGAATAAATACCCAGATTATATTCCAATTCTTCTTCACAAAGTTTCCAACAGAAAAACATAAGAAATGTTATAGGAAAAACAAAACCTTTTTTTATTTGAGATAAAGAGAGAAAGAAGGAAAGAGAAAGAGAAGTATAGTAAGAGGGAAAGAGAGAGAAGGAGATGAAGAGAGAAGAGAGAGAGAGGGCAACCACTTTTTCATCCCCAAATACCCACAACAGCAAAGGTTCCAGGGCCCAAGCTGAACCAAGGACAATCTCCCTTGTGAGAGACAAGAGCTCAATTAATTGAGCTGCCATCATTGCCTCCTAGGATCTGAATTACCGGAGTCAGAATGAGGAGCTGGAGTGGGGATTTGAAACCAATCATCTTGGTATGCAACATGGGCATTTTAACTAGCATCTTAAATGTTAGACTAAATGCCCACCCTAGAAATGAACATTTTATTAGCTACATGAATGTTTGGTGACATAAATTTCAAAGTTCTGGAAAAGATAGATAAAAGCTATGGCTTATGTCTTGAGACCTAAGAATGTTTTATCATTTCCTGAATTTAACTCTTGAGATCTCATGATTTTATAATTACTCACACAGAAAAGGAAATTGAAAAGAGATAGAACTTCCTGGGCCATGAATAAGGATTACTAGTCCACTCAAACGCAATGAAAAAACAAAAGAGTAGATAATAATGTATAATGATTCTGCCAACTGATAAATAAAGGTTAATTAAGGAATTAACTACTGATCAAAGATATGAGATATGTTGCACTCCTGTGGGAAGTGTGTTGAAACTATTACTCTGCTCCATTATTATGCAAGTAAAATAGAGACTGAAATGGAAGTACAGTACTTAGAGTCAAAGTGACTTTCTGTTTAGATGTAGTATTTAAGCTGGGATATGTAAGATGAGAAGAAAAAAATAAGCAAGTTCCGTCAGGTTGAGATGAGAGGAAAATAATGCAGGCACTTAGAGTAGTTCAACAGTTTGTGTGTGTGTGTGTGTGTGTAGGGGTAACTCTATATCAAATCATACTTTTAATTGCTCCAACATCTTTATGTTACTTTGGAAAACCACCCCCTCCCCCCAACCCCTGTCTCAGGCAAGTATTTTTTTTTTTTTTTCAGTGTTGAAATATTTACTTAACTCCAGCTACAGATCTCATAACCTTGGCAATAGTGACTGGCCAAGAAAAAGAATGCCACCCAAACAGAACCAATGAAACTTGCAGTAAGAATGAAGGAAAAAGAAAAAAAGATAAATAAATAACTTGTTTCTTGGTGACCCATACCCAAACTATTCATTTTATGAGAGGAAGTAAATATCTCAATTTTTTCCTCATCAAAAGATATTTCCCCCTTGCAACATATAGCTCACTATTAAAAATGTTAAATATTTGAGTGAGGCAGGGATTACTTGGACACCTTAAAGGAGCTGAAACAAGACCAACTTAATATACTTAGTATATTGACCAACAGAAATAGCACACATAAAGATCTAGAAGATACACAGGATCAGAGAATGCAGTTTCTTGTCCATAGTAAATACTTGCAAGTGATTTTAAAAGTAATGTAAGGTCACAAAAGGGTCCTAAATAGAGTGACATGATAAAATGTGCATTTACTAATCCCAATAAAAATTAGATTACTATGTAACTTCAGTGCTGATGGCCTTTTACCAACTGTAATCCATACAATATAAATGTCACATAGGAAGTACTTTGTATGAAATATTAATAGGGTGATGAAAAACACTAGATTATAATTTCTAATGCTTTTCCTGGTAATTCAGTAAATGATGACATATCAAAACAGTCTATTATAATTTTAAGATTTGGCTTCTATTCAAATTGAGGCATTTTTGATTAACAAACATTTGATGGAATTACTATTATGAAAGCTTATTTTAATTTAAAGGGCTTAGGATTGGCAATGTGTCAAAACTTGTGGTGTATTGGTATACCATTGGTACATTTACAAAGATGAAATGGCATGAAAATGAAAACTGGGAAGCACTACAGACTGTGAGATATGACTTCCAAAGATAAGAAAATCTCATTGTAATTTCTGATTTGAAAAAAAAAATACAAAACATAAATCATTACCAATATCACCAAATGCAAAGAAAATGAACAATATCCACCTTTTCAGTGGCATTGTCTTTTTTTAAAAAAGATTTATTTTATTTATTTGAAAGATAGAGTTACAGAGAGAGGTACAGACAGAGAAAGAGGTCTTCCATCCGCTGGTTCACTCCCCAGATGGCTGCAACGGCCAGAGCTGCGCTGATCCGAAGCCAGGAGCCAGGAACTTCCTCTGGGTCTCCCATGTGGGTGCAGGGGCCCAAGCACTTGGGCCATCTTCTACTGCTTTTCCAGGCCATAGCAGAGAGCTGGTTTGGAAGAGGAACAATAGGGAGTAGAGCCGGCACCCATATGGGATGCTAGCACTTCAGGCCAGGGCGTTAACCTGCTGCACCACAGCACCAGCCCCAAGTAGCATTGTCTTTGTAACACCAATGTGTTGTGAATACTTGGCAAAACTTCAAAATGGGGATTTTTAAAATACCTAAGTTTATGTAAATATAAATGAGTGAACAAAATTTGATGTGATACCATTGTTATAAACTGCTAGTATCCGCCAAAAGCTAAAATCTCTATTATACCAGAGAATTCCATAAAGAGGTTATTTTTTATTAGCTTGCTAGATGGATTAACTTTGCTTTTGTTAAGAGTGTTGCATAAACTCTAAGAAAACACATGACCATGAAACAACATTTATTTGTACGTATGTGTTTGTATGTGTGTGTATTTTCTGAGTAAATTTGCAAGATAATGTGACATTAAAAAATTCAAATCCAGCATTATTTTTATTGAGAATTTAGTACAGTGATATATGTGTATATGCATGTAATAGTTAAGTTGTGTGACCATGTATGGATTATATTATATTTGTATAGAAAAATGTATATTGAAGAATAAGCATTGTGACCTGGGATGCCTACATCCCATACTGGAGTGCCAGCTCAAGTCCAGGCTACTTTGCTTCTGATCCAGCTTCCTGCTAAATAGTCCTGGGAGCAAGCAGATGCCCAGTGTCAGGCTCCTGCCTTTAGCCTGGCACAAGCTTGGCTGTTGTGGACATTTGGGAAGAAAATTAGAAATTGGATTCTTTCTCTCTCTCTTTCCTCCCCCACCCTCCCTCCCTCTTTAAAAACTGAAAAGCATTGAGTAGGTTCAATTTTGTTAACTCACATAATCAGAATGAACTACTTAAGTTTCCCTCTAAAGCACTTATTAGCAAATCCTTTAGTAAGGAAAATGAACACTTGGTAATTTATTTATGTGTATAAATTCCTCTTTTTTATATTGGGGCCATTTTGTAAGTGTATAACTTCAAGATTTTTTCAACATTTATCCATTACATTGTCAGGAGGAATTATTCTTTTGAAATTCTTCATATAAAATATTGCAACAGTTGTTGGCATATACAGTGAATTAGGTATTCTTTGCCTCTTGTACATTTCTAAAATAATAGCTTAACTGAAAACAAGTTGGGCTTAGATTATACTGATTTAAACTGAAGAAGCCAATTATTTATTAAATACAGATTTCTATTGAAACATCCCTGATCATTTGTAATCATTGTTAATTATTGTTGTTGGAAATCTATAAAAGTGACTAAAGTGAATCAGATCTTTCAAGTGAATTTTCATTATTTTTAATACAGATACAACAAAGTATTATATCTTTAACAAACAAGTCCTATTATCAAACAAAAACGATTTTAATATGTATAATATAGCTGTGTATTTGTGTAATTCATTCACTACCTTTGTATAAAATCAGAGAGGAAAACCATCAGCTTGACTCACTGTTGAAAACTATTTGAAGGAAGAAAATGGGATTTTGAGAACTATTTATAAACAAGACTCAAAAAAAAAAAAAAAACCAAAATCAAATGCCTACTGAAATTCGAAATTAGATATGAATAATGAAAAATAACCCAGTTTGAGTTGCAGAGACCTCCTCCATCCGTTCTGACTCTTTTTCCTCCCCTGACAACCTGTTTCACACAGAACTTGGAAAGTTGACTACCTTCTCAATTCTGATGGCAGATCTTGTTGAATCTATATACTAATAGTGACTGATAAGAACCAAGTGAGAAAGTACCTAACAGGTTTCTAGAGAAGAAATCTACTACTGAATGTTTCAGTGTCACAGTGTGGTGACAGGAATTCCTGCAACAATTTTGCCACCTGGAATGATGAAGCCAAGACAAGGAGAGCAGAGAGCCAGGAGACGTTGTGAAGAAGCCAAGATTGAACATTTGTTAGTTAATATTTAATTTTCCAATTGGGGTGGTATTTTCTTTACTTGAAGTCAGAGGTATTCTGAGAATATTTAATTTGTTTTATTTTCTAAAACACAAATTTTAAAAACCTTCTTTTCTATTTTACTGTCTATTTTTTAAAAATTTACTTTACGCACGGCATAGTGGGTTGAACTGCTGCCTGTGATGCTGGCTTTCCATCCCATAAGAGCACCGGTTCACGTTCCAGCTGCTTCACTTGCTACAATCTGGGGAGTCAACCAGAGGGTGAATGAAATTATCTGTCTATCTGTCTGTCTGTCTGTCTATCTACCTATCTATCATCTCTCCTTTTGTCTAGGTAACTCTGCTTTTGGAAATAATTAAATATTTAAAACAATTACATTATGAAGCATATTTCCAAATATAATACAAGTAACCTAATTCTAAATGCTCAATATGTTAGGTGAATTTTATTTTAACAATTAAATTCAGAGTTGTATGTAAAATAGTCAATTATTCCTCAAGAAAACTTGATCTAACTTTACTGTTTTCTTTTTAATTATCATCCCATCATTATGAGTTTCTTAGAAATACTAGTTCATACAGGAATTGGCATTTTAAAAGAGGAAATACAAGTGTCTTCATTTAAAAACACAATCTGTTCAGTTCATTCTTAAGAGAAACTGGTGCTTAGAAAATTAGAATTACATTAAAGTAAATGAAAATCATTTCAGACATATCTTCATTATTGAAATTCTTAATTTTATTTGATATTTTTCCCATGGGTATATAAAACTATTAAGAAAATTAAAATAACAATAAAAGCAACTTTAAAAACTGTATTTTTACCAGAAATTTTCACTTTACAAACTAAAAAATAAAATGTTAAAAAGTTGCATATTTCTTAAATCAATGTTACATGTAAGTAGGAATCAATACAACAGTCTTGGAAATATTTATGGAGACAAAGGCAAGAGTGGAAGCAGTGGTTAACACATGTTTATGTAAATTAGATTTTGTTGGAATGCTTACCAGAAAAGGGAAGATTCTACTTATTTATTAAGGTACTTGGGTGCAAAGGATTTAATTTTCTTGAAAGAATGAACCTCTACTGCAAACTAGAATGGCTTGATATGATCATACACATGCACACACATCTGCAACTTGCAATGAGACAACTTTAAATACAGTTTTGTAAGCTGGTATCATTTATTATGCTGAATAATAAAAAAATAAGCAATTTATGCTGAGGTGGTCTATTACCATGTCATTAAGCTATAACTACAATTCCTCTGGACATGTTATATTATGTCTTATTATTTCTTTGTGCATACAGAGAGAATTTAGTTTTCTGAAATTATCTTGATTACATACATGAGGAGATCTGATATACCTATTTACATATTGCAGTCTTGTTTCCTGGTGTTCCTCCTAAACAACTTTTTACATATGAGGTAAATACTTTCCTACATAGTGATTCAGAAAGCCAATGAATTAGAATCGGCATATGAGAGCATCACAGAAATTATTATTTTTTTAAAAAAGATTTATTTATTTATTTGAAAGGCGGAGTTACAGAGAGCGAGAAGGAAAGACACAGAGAGAAAGATCTTCCATACACTAGTTGCTCCCTAAATGGTCACAATGACTGTGGCCAAAGTCAGGAGCAGAAGCTTCTTCTGGGTCTCTTATGTGAGTGCAGGGGCCAATGGAGTTGGGTCATCCTCTCATGCACATTAGCAGGGAGTCAGATAGGAAGAGGAATAGCCAGAACGCAAATCCACACTCATATCTGATGCCAGTCCTGCAGGCCATGGCTTAACTGATTGTGCAACAGCACTGGGCCCTACACATAAATAATTACAAAAAAACAGTATTCACAACATATATTATTAAAAACTGAAAAGTAAGACACATTAAAAAATACTATGGGCTTTATACTAGATACTTTATACGTAAAAGTTTTGGTTAGAAAGTGTTGAGGATAGAAAACTCAAAATAACAGCATACAATACACAGAGACTATGCATGTGTGTGTATGTGTAAGTATACAGATATTTAAGGTGTTCAAAAATGTCTTGAAGAATGATCTAATTAAAAGATTAGAAATTTGGGGCTTAACATTTAACTTTGGAATAACATTCAAAACTATAAGCAAAGTGAGAATGTTGGGGAAATGTCTAAATGGTGTCTATGCTATGCAAAGAAATCTAACAAATCAATATAAATAAAAAATATATGCCAATAGAAAAATAAAGATAATGAAGCCGGCGCCGTGGCTCACTAGGCTAATCCTCTGCCTTGCGGCACCGGCACACCGGGTTCTAGTCCCGATCGGGGCGCTGGATTCTGTCCAGGTTGCCCCTCTTCCAGGCCAGCTCTCTGCTGTGACCCTGGAGTACAGTGGAGGATGGCCCAAGTCCTTGGGCCCTGCACCCCATGGGAGGCCAGGATGAGTACCTGGCTCCTGCCATCGGATCAGCGCGGTGCGCCAGCCGCAGCGCGCTGGCCACGGCGGCCATTGGAGGGTGAACCAACAGCAAAAGGAAGACCTTTCTCTCTGTCTCTCTCTCTCACTTCCACTCTGCCTGTCAAAAAAAAAAAAAAAAAAAAAAAAAAAAGATAGTGAAACATTAACTCACAAATAATAGAACACAAATGGACAAAAAAATTATTTAAATTTTAATTAAAAATGTAGTAAAAAATTTAGAAGAGAGCAATAGTGAGATATATGCTTTAAATATCATGTTGTATTGGCCAACAACGTAAACAAAATCCTTTGTTCCCTGGAGTATATGGAAAAGGGTACTCCCTACAATGTTAATAGAAATGTAAGCTTTATAGACAACACTTGGGCAGTGTTAATGAAGTTTTTTTAAAATTTTTCTTTCAATAATTATTTCCAAGTCTATACATTTTAAATTATATATACGCATATACATATGCGTATATATGAGTCTGCAAGGCTGTTTACTTCCAATTCGTTTATGATAGAGAATAAAAGGAGAAAACATGCTAGCAATATATATGGCTATCAATAAGAAATTAGCTACATTATGGTACAGTTATTGAACAAAAATGAAAATCCTTAAAGATAATATTTATGGGCGTGTAAATTGACCATGGCATGTTATCACATTAAGAAAGTAATTTCAAAAACTATGATATGCTCTTATTTTTGTTAAGTTACCTATGGGTATATGTATAAAAAAAAACCTGGGAGGATATACAAAAAATTATATCAGAAGACCTGCCTGGAAATAAGATTTTACTTATATGTTACTTTTTAATTTTTTCATTGACCATAATATTTTTACTGGCAGAAAAATATTGTAATTTTATACTATGTGTAATGCATATACAAATAATTTCAATACAAATAAAAAGCTTTCTCAATATAGCTAAAATCATACCAAAGAAAATATTTTAATATTTCTTTGCTACTAGCAATATATGAAACAATGATTTGAATATATTTTACAAGAAGGAACTAAACAAAGTAAACAAAATTAAAATAACGACAGCCATAACAATACTATTTTCAAGACATTTGATATGAGTAGATAATAATTTTAAATTAATTATTTAATTGTTTTCCAAATGAATGTGAAATAGCACATATTAAAAACAATAAAATACAATTCTGTTTTTTAAAGTCTTTAAAATAGGTTGAGTAATAATATGAGAGGTAGGAAAAAAAGTCAGATCTGGGAATGGGTCTAAAATAAAAACTAAACTAGAAAGTAGGCTATGTGATATAACTTCAACTGCCCAGAAAACAGTGAGTTTTTGATCAATCAAGGTGAAAAGTGAATTTTAAAAGCTTACATAGCTCTCACAGTCTTATAAAAGCAGACATTAAAAATCAGCCAAGAAACTTACTTTTCTGGACCCTGAGAGAATATCACTACCCAGAATGATATAAAACAGATTAAAAACCACAAATTTTAAACATAATTTCTATATTCTACACATACTACTGGCAAAATCTTAAGGCATAACATGAAGCTTTACAGGTATAGAGATTCAAGACCAGACCAACTTTGGCTCACCTGAACTGATACAGGTATATAACAAGCAATACAAACATTAAGGTTTTCCTACATAAGTCATAATTTAGATAATTAGAAAGTAATTGAATAATAGTCAATCAGTGGAAAGAATAACAAAATACCCCATAGAAACACTTTGTAGACAAAATTAAAAACCTTCATCCTATTAATTTAAACCACTGGAAAAACAACCACATTGGGATATAAATTTAAAAAAAGTTCAACCATAACCATATCAGGATATAAATTTAAAAGAAACTAACCACTTCCTATTTTAAACACTAATTCAAAATAAAATTGGATATTTAACTGAATTTGAACTATTGTCTAAACTTTTGATTTTTCAATAAAGGATAAAAAGCTAGAAATTTCATTGGCAAAAATAAATTATTTTGGAAACTTTGAGTATATTTTCCTAGAAGAAATTAAAGTCAGTACTATTAAAACAAGAAAGAAAATATGCAGGAATCTCAAATAATTACCTCACTTCAGTCGCCACAAAATGTAATAAAATATATTTAAGTATATTTATTGCTATGACAAGTATATCAAAATAAGAAAAAAATACACAAACTAAAAAGTGTGCTTCTGTAAAGGGAATCGATCTTGTAAGAATCCTTTATTTTTCCACAAAAAAAGTCTTTGTATAAAAAGCCTTTTGTTACAAAGTTTGCTAAACTAGCAGCCACCCAGCAGGATTTAAAATTAACAGAGGACACTTCAGAGAGAGATCCTTCCGGTTTCCCCAACCTGCTACAGAAATCCGGCTGCTGAGGGTTAAGTGTCTGTTTCCTAGTACCCCTGGGCCAAAGCGATGTTGAGAGGTTTGGAGCCCAAGATGCGACCATTCATCACAGTCATTGCTCTAGCGGCATCCTCAGAAGAGGAGAAGCAGATCAAGCCGAAACCTTTGCTTTGTCCTTCTTCCTGCATCACCTTAACTCTGCTAATGGACCCAAAGGAAGAAAACTCCTTTCGGAGTTTTTCATCATCAATGTTCTCATCAAGGTTCTTAATGTAGAGTTTCGCCCCCTGGCACCCGCGGATTCTTTCCTTTTTCAACTGTTCAAACATTTGCTTTAACTCAGCCTGCCGCTCTACCTTCTTCTGTGCCCGACCTACAAAAATGGGCTGCCCGTTTACTTCCTTGCCGTTCATTTCTTCCACGGCCTTTCTGGCGGCCTCGTGGCTGTCAAAACTCACAAAGCCAAAGCCTCTGGATTTCCCACAGGAGTTGGTCATCACCTTAACACTGAGAATTCTGCCGTAGGTACTGAAGACTTCCCGCAGCCTCTCATCATCCATGTCGTCCCCGAAGTTTTTGATGTAGACATTGGTGAATTCACTGGCTTTGTTTCTGAGCTCGGCTTCCCGATCTTTGCGGCTTTTGAATCTGCCCACAAACACCTTGCAGTCCTTGAGGAACTTCCCGTTCATCTCCTCGATGGCCCTGTCTGCGGCGCTCTGGCTCTGGAAGTGCACGAACGCATAACCCTTGGAGCCCCGGTCATCACTCATCACCTTGGAAGAAAGGATCTTTCCAAAAGCTGAAAAACATTCATAAAGGCTTTTGTTGTCTATGGACTTGTCCAGATTCTTGATGAAGACGTTCCCGATTCCAGATTTCCTCAAGTAGGCGTCCCGTTGGGACCACATGAGTCGGATGGCCTTGCCTTTCACCACATCAAAGTTCATTGTGTCCAGGGCCTTCTGGGCATCGGCCAGCTGCAGGAAGTTGACGTAGGCATAGCCCAGAGAGCGGCGGGTCACCAGGTCCCTGCAGATGCGGATGGACAACACGGGCCCCACCCTGCTGAACTTCTTGAACAGCAGGTCCTCGGTGACATCGGAATGGAGGTCGCCCACATAGAGGGAGGCCATGCGGTACTTGGCTGCCACATTCATCTCCTTGTCTTTCACCACCAGGTGTTTTCAGAAAGAGTCCTGCAAGGGGGGGAGCCTAGGCCACAGCTCAGACCCGGTTGCAGTGAGGCGGCCTCGGGAGCACCGCGTAGAAGCCAAGCAGTGGACTTCAGGTGCAGCTCTCCCAAGCTCAGGCAACAACTTCGTCCAAAAGTCTCCACAGCCACCGATCTGCGCCTCCCTGAGACTCAGCGGCGGAACGCCAAGCGCCAAGCTCCGGGAAAGGCTAGGAGGAGCAGCCGTCCCTGCCCGCCCGTGTGTGAGCTCCCCTCGAGCGCGCCTGGCCCTCCATCTGCGCCTTCTCCACACACACACACACAGGAGAGTCCGCGCGCGCGGTCGCTGGTTTCTGAATAAAAATAGGCCTAGCTCGCACTGGTTTAAAGTTACAGCTGCTCTGAGAACTCCACAAGTGGCATCTGAGGCAGCCGGCCGGGCCCCCAGGGCGCACGAGCGGGACAGGCGCGACCCGAACCCACCTGGTACCCGGTTCGGCGGGCGCTGCCTCCCCACGGAGGTCCCGGAGCGCCGCGGGCTTCGCGCGACCCGACGAACCCGGGCGACCTCCGTTCAGGCCGTCCCCGCGCGGCGCCCGAGGGCTGACCGACCGACGGACCGACCCACGGACTCACGGACGCAGCCGAGAAGGCAGCGGTCGGTCGAGGACTGGGGGTGCTCACCCGAGCTGCGGCCGGCCGGGGGCGGGCGGGAAACCCGGAACTCCAGCGCTGAACTTCCCGCGCACTCGCTGCCAAGTGGGATGTTTTCTTTTTCATATTTTTTTTTTTTTTTTCAGAACGTTTTTCTTCCCCCCGCCCCTCTTACACGTTTCCCACCCCCCTCAGACTGTTAAACTGAGAAGCGGGAGGCGGTGACTAGGGTGGAGAGAGGCAGCCTGGGGGAGTGGCCCCAGTGAACCCACCCGCCTGGGGCTCAGCTTGGGGCTGCCTGGAGGAGGGTTTCCAAATGTGGATCAGTGCCTGCCACTTACTCGCTGCAAACTCTCCAAGAGTTTCCTGGGACTCTTGGATAAGCTCCAATATCCGTACCTCGTTCTACTGAGTCCTGCAGGACTCTCGTCAAGTGCCAGCCACAACTGCTGCTTAGTTCGCTTAGGTAACTGCAGGACGCATTTTTTTTTTAACCCTCCCCCCAAGGCCTGCTTTATAAAAATGTGTTCCTCAGATATTAATGTAAATGCTCTCTGAATAACAGCTTTTTCCCTAACCCCATTCTGAAAGTTTAGGCTTCCCTAAAGAAACTCTTACATCACCTTTGATTGCAATATGGTGCACATTTCCTATCAGTAAGAGCCATGCCTACTTCATTCCCAGGACTTGCAGAAATGGGATACTTAATATTTATTGATTCAATCACCTGTGTGCAGTAGATGAGCTATTCACCCAGAGACTGTTTTTCACATCTAGAGGCATGAAGATAGTGGCACTTACTTCAGAGTATTGTATTAAGTGAATTAATGTATGTGGAACTGTCTAACACAATATCAGGCATGTAATAGGTTTCGAGTAGCATTCATTTCATTTCCTCTAGCATTAAATAAAATTTCTTAATGCAATTCTCATAAAGCCTTAACATTTGATTTATAATGTGTCTTAGGGAATCGGAATAAGTAACTGCAGAATTGAATTGGGTAGGTCAGTTTATAGAAAGTATATTTAATGCTCTTCAAACTTCACTGGACATGGAACCTGATAATCTTGTTTAAAGGAGATTCTGATTCAGTAACAGGATGGAACTGAAATTCTACAATTTAAATAAGTTCCCAAGTGATAAAAAAAATTCTGTTAATTTCTGAACTACAAGCTGCAAGACTTTAAAGTTAAATGATTCCCTATTAAAGGGGATTTTTCCGATTGTAGGAACTAGAAAATTTAACGAAACAAAGCAAACCCCACCAAAATCCTTTAGAACACAATAAAGCTCTAGCAAAATTCATTGTTAGTAATGCATAGTGACTGGAACATTTTTTTAATTTAAGGTATACAAATTTCATGTATATCATATATGCAGATTTAGGAACATAGTGATATTTCACATCCTACCCTCCTTCCTACCCACACTCCACCCTTTCTCCTCCTTCTTCTCTTATTCCCTCTCTTAATTTTTACATTGATCTACTTTCAGTTTACTTTATATTCATAAGATTAACCTACACCAAGTAAGGAGTTCAACAAACAGTAAGAAAAAAAAATACTGTTCCTCAATAGTCAAGACAAGAGCTGTAAATAATCATAGAAGTTCAAAATGTCAGTTTTACTCCTATATATTATATTTTTGGTACTCTATTAATTACCACACATTGGGGAAAACATATGGTATTTGTCTTTTGGGGGCTGGCTTATTTCACTTAGTATGTTTCCTGTTATATCCACTTTGTTGCAAAATACAGGATTTCCTTCATTTTTATGGCTGAGTAGTACTCCATAGTGTATATAAATAATAATTTCTTTATCCAATCATCAGTTCATAGGCATCTGGGTTGATTCAATATCTTAACTATTGTGAATTGAACTCCACTAAACATGGAGGTACAAATATGCTGATTTCATTTCCCTTGGTTAAATTACCAGGTGTGGGATCGCTGGGTTATATTACAGATTTATTTTCAGCTTTCTGAGATATCTTCATGCAGTCTTCCAGATGGCTGTACTAGTTTACATTTCCACTAACAGTGAATTTGGGTATCTTTTTCCTCATATCCTCAAAACCATTTATTGTTTATTGATTTCTGTAAGAAAAACTGGGGTGAGATGAAGCTTCATTGTAGTTTTGATTTGCATTTCCCTGATGGCAGGTGATCCTGAGTATTTTTTCAAGTGTCTGTTGGCCATTTTGATTTCCTCTTTTGCAAAATGCCTGTTCAAGTCCTTTACCCATTTCTTAACTGGATTCATTGTTTTGTTGTTACTGAGTTTTTTGAGCTTTGTATAGATTCTGAATACTAACCCTTTATCAGTTGCACAATTTGCAAATATTTTCTCACTTTTTGTTGGTTGGGTCTTCAATTTGCTGAGTGTTTCCTTTGCAGTATAGAAGCTTCTCAGAAGCTTCAGTTGTCCATTTTGGCTTTGCTTGCTTGTGCTTCTGGGGTCTTTCCCAAGAAGTCTTTCCCTATGCCAATGTTTTGCATTTTACCCAATGTTCTCTGCCAATAATTTGATGGTATCAGATTGTAGATTTAGATCCCTGATCCATTCTGGTAGCAGTCTTGTTTCATACTTATACATATGGAGATTCAATTTTCCCAACACCAGTTGTTGAAGAGACTGTCCTTTCTACAAGGATTGATTTTAGCTCCTTTGTCAAAGATTAGTTGTTTGTGGATGTGTGAATTGATTTCTGGATTCTCTATTCTGTTTCATTGGTCTATATGTCTATTTTTATGATAGTGTCAGGCTGTTTGATTATAACTGCACTGTCATATGTCCTGAAATCTGGTATTGTGATGCCTCCTACTTTATTTTTGTTATTTAAGATCCATATGAATTTCATTGGTATTTTAATTGGGATTGCATTGAATCTGAGTGTCTTACATGTATATGAGTATCTGAAATTCACAAGTTAATAAACATCTGTTTGCTTTTCTCTTGCTAATCTGTTGTTTGTTACAAGGGATTACAACTAAGAACCCCTGAAAAGCTGAAGAAAAAATTTTTATTTTCTGCTACAAGTAGTGGATCTCTGATTCCTCACACTGATTTTTTTGTTTGTTAAATTTATCCTGATGTGCATTCCTCCTACAGGGTCATTTGTTCAAATAAATACATGATGTAATATTTTCTTGAATCATGTCTTCTAGACTGCACTTAAAAAATAGGGGAGAAGACCATTGATAGAGTTAGTAGATAACATTTACAGATCTGGGCAACACTCCAGCACATACTTTAAAAATTCCGATAATATTTGGCATGTTTAATGTAAATAAAACAGTGAACCTCACTGTTTTTTTTGGTTTTTTTTGTTTTTTTGTTTTTTTTTTTTTTTTAAAGAGAGAGTTCTTAAATGTATAGTTACTGAGAATTTTGTCTCCAGACTTTACTTTGAGGAAATAGGCTGAAGGTCACATTCCATCTTTGTAGAACAGTAATTCACCTATGGCAAAAACTAAAATATTTAAAGAACCCATGGGATTTTCATTTCTCTTTGGTGCGATCTTCATTCACCATTTTGTGAAAGGTGTAGAAGTTTCCAAAATCATAATTTAGTTTCATGCTATTATCTCACCAATCAACGTACAAGAAATGGAAACAAACTGCATTTTGTTAAATGATCAACACTTATAACCCTTCTATTTATTCTACTCCATATAGTATTTTTATTTTTACATTTTGACAAACTAAGCATTTTAAGCATAAATGATTCTCCCTACTCCTTGATTCTCTAAATACACCTTTTGTCAGATATGTTTATCTACTAACTTATTTGAGATGTCTTTTACATTTTCCTTTCTTTCCATTCCCATTGCCATTGTGCCTTTGCTTCATTTCCTTGGTATTATTCCATAAGTCTTATTCATTCATCTTCTTCTGTTCAGTCAGTATGTGTGCCAGTCCATATTGTATTTTGCTTCCAGAAAAAATTTTACTAAAGTCTCTTTCACAAGATTTTAGTAAAAAAATAACAAATGACTTCCATGGCTTCACAGAATCAATCATATCCTAACTACATATATCTTCTTCTGTCAAGCTAATCTCTGAGTTCTTTAATATGCACGTAGAGTTGTTATTTTAAAAATAGTCTCTTTTTCCAATGTTTATCCAAATCCTTCAGCCCTTGAGCCTTTTTCTCTACTGATTCCTTCTCTTGGTTCTTTTTCCACACTATATAACAATATATGAATTGTATATAGGTACCTAATGTTGGTATGAATGCATTGCCTTTGATGTTGTTTTAAATTGATGTCAATTATGATGCATTATGTTTTCTTCAGAAATTTGTTTCAGTTATGTATGTTGTTCATTTGAGTTTCTTTTTATTTATTTATTTATTTGACAGGCAGAGTGGACAGTGAGAGAGACAGAGAGAAAGGTCTTCCTTTGCCGTTGGTTCACCCTCCAATGGCTGCTGCAGCCAGCACACTGTGGACAGCGCACCTCGCTGATCTGAAGCCAGGAGCCAGGTGCTTCTCCTGGTCTCCCATGGGGTGCAGGGCCCAAGCACTTGAGCCAATCTCCACTGCACTCCCTGGCCACAGCAGAGAGCTGGCCTGGAAGAGGGGCAACCAGGACAGAATCCGGTGCCCTGATCAGGACTAGAACCCTGTGTGCCAGCGCCGCAGGCGGAGGATTAGCCTATTGAGCCGTGGCGACGGCCTCTTTTTATTCTTAAAATATTCTGAATATATTTAACTTAAATTCCAATACTTTTCCTCATTTTGGAAAAAATAATTGCAATTTTGCCCAGTCTTATTTATCTCAATTACCTTTCACTGTGTAAATTTATGTGGTTAGCTTAAAGAAGTAAGAGGTAATTAGACTGCAGTTCCGCTAAGTAACAGGAAACTGTCAGTGTTTCTATTCACTGACACTATGGTGATGGAGGTCATTTCTTACTTTGGTAATTTCATGGAGAAATGAATAAATAGCCATTTTGAGAATGGAATGTAAAAAGTGGAAATCTGTGGTACTAGTTAAACCAAAGTAGTTCATAATGGCTAATTGCATAGCAGTTCAGATGTTAGTCAATGATTCATAAAATTTTTATCTTTGTTCAAATGGTATTTATCACCTTAATATAAA